ACCATGTGCTCTTTGAACAATGATGTGCCATCCAATTAGGATTGCTCAAGCCTATCCAAGACAAAGGTGGGTATTAATCCAAGTTTCAGAATTCCAGTGCCAGCTCTGACTTTCTCTTTACCCAGCCACACTAGCTTTAGAACACACACACATTGTCGTTATGCTGTTGGAACGGCATCCAGTGAACAGGTTTCCTCTATGTAGATTAGCATCTAGTAACACAAACTATGTTCTATAGCTAGTGATTTGTCCCAACTAGACTAGACCAACTGCATCAACGGAATCTATATGAATGTTCATATACCAAGTTCCCATTGACTCAGTAATTCTGCTTACGTTAGGATAAACAACTTCATTTAGCCTAGGGGGTGGGATTTGTGTAGTCCTCCAGATGATTTTGGATTGCTTTGACTTTTGTGGCTAGGGCTGCTGAAAATTACAGTCCGACACCTCAAGGGTCACAGTTGTGACTTCTGATCTAACTGAGTCTTATACTGTCCTTTGCTTATTAGCAAGGAATCCCCAACTCTTAAACATTTCTAGTCCCTGTCCATGTAGGAGATTAAATCTTTCTGTCACTGCGGAACTTTCTAATATTAGTAACTGTGTTATAGAACAGAGATGGCGAATGTGTGATCTTCCAGATATAGATTTGCAGTTACCATTATCCTCATGGAGCCCTTGGAGGTGCAGTGGGTTAAACCGCTGAGCTGCTGAACTTGTTGACTGAAAGGTCACAGGTTTGAATCCAGGGAGTGGCGTGAGCTCCCGCTGTCAGCCCCAGCTTCTACCAACCTAGCAGTTTGAAAACATGCAAATGGGAGTAGATCAATAGGTACCGCTCCGGCGGGAAGGTAACGGCACTCCATGCAGTCATGCCAGCCACATGACCTTCGAGGTGTCTACGGACAACACGAGCTTTTCGGCTTAGAAATGGAGATGAGCACCACCCCCAAAGAAGGACACGACTGGACTTAATGTCAGGGGAAAACCTTTACCTACCTTTACCTGTCATACCTCATTGTTACCTAAGTTGACAGATGAGGATTGCAGCTCAATAACATCTGGAGGGCCATGTATTCTCTATCCTTTTTGCAGTTGCCTCAAGCAGCACATTGTCCCTGCTCCTCTAGTTTGCTACATCTGCTCAATGGGACCATCCTGGAAAGTCATATGCATTACCAGTTCTTGAATAGCTTAACCAAGACCACAGTTAAGGAATAGAGGACCAATTTTGAATTGTATAGTATGCAATACTTTATGACAAGGTTAACATTTGTGTTTAATATTTAGTGCATGGATACAATGACAGAGAGCCCAGTTAACTTGATGTGTAACTATATTGAGAGGGCATCCTTATACTTACCTCAGATAAGCTCTTACAAAAATCAAAATAACCACAGCAACCCACGTTTTAACTAATAGAAATTATTTATTCATGGTAGAGCAGGAAAGCAATAATACACAGGGCTACTTGGCAGACTAAGGCTGCAGATTTGTGGCAACACAAAAAAGGCAGCAATTGGTTTGCCATTTATTATTATTGTATCTGCACTTCCAAGATTGAGTAGGGTGCCTGTGAGAATTTCTGCTTCAAGTATCTGAATAACTTGACTGGCTTAGTATAAATTGGTTTTAATGGTTTTAATTATTCATGTTTAAAATAATAGTACTAGGCTTAATTCTATTTTAATGCTTGTAGTCTTTAAGTTTAACTTGCATAATGTATTGTTTTCTTTTTAACCACTGTTCAACACTTTATATCTTTAAGAGAAAAAAGCAGTAAATAAGAATAAGAATGATGATGATAATTCGGTTCTGTGGCACTGAAAATTTCTGCCGCTTCTGTAGTCGTTTTGCTTCCAGTTGTACTACAGGTCTATGCCCTGATTTCGCAGGGCATAGGCCTGTAGCACTTGTTGACGGGTGCCCAGGAGAAGCACTCGCCACTTTCCTTATTATCCTGGGCGATGACCGAGCCTGTATTGATTTCTTTAGAGTTTGTTTCATCATATTTAAATGGGTTGGATGTACTTAGTTCTACTTCTCAGTTGAGACCACTCTGGCTTGGTTGAACCTACTGGTACCTTATACTACCACCAGCACAGCTCTCAACATCATAGAAGCAGTTAAGCCCCCTGCCAATGACAAGGTGGCACCCTGAAGACCTTGGCCTGCACTTAAACACAATGGGCGCTGACAAAATTACCATCTGTTAGCTGCAAAAGGCCACCCTACTGGGATCTGCCTGCATTATTCGCCGATATATCACACAGTCTTAGACACTTGGAAAGTGTCCGACGTGTGATCCAATACAACAAAAAGCATAGCGATCTTGTTTGCTGTGTACTAATCTTGTTGTGTTTCAAATAATAATAATAATGACAGTGCAATGACATTTTGTAATGGCCTGGTCTACGATTTTGGACAACGTGATTTTAATAAGTATGAATGATTATTTAAATATATTTGTTTATTTTTTATTAATGGTGTTGAATTGTTGCCTATATAAGTAAGCTGCCTTGAGTCCCCTATGGCCGGTATGTGCAAACCCAGGACTGGGGGCCGGATGTGGCCCCTTGGGGTCTTTTCTCAGGCCCTCCTCTCTCTCCCCATCCTATCCTTCCTTCCTTCCTTCTCTCTTTCCTTCCTCAATAATAATAATAATAATAATAATAATAATAATAATAATAATAATAATACTTTATTTATACCCCGCCACCATCACCCCAAGGGACTCGGAGCAGCTTACATTAGGCCAAGACCAGCAGTACATCAATAAACAAAAACAATAAAACAAAAACAATAAACAAAACAAAAATACAATACAATTAATAYAAATCACATATAAACAATAACCAATAAACAGTAACACACAAAAATTTAAAAACCTAAAAATTTAAGAACTCCTTCCTCCCCTCCCTCCTTTCCGTATCTCCCCTTTTCTCCCTTCCTCCTTCCTTCCCTTCCGTCTTCGCTCCCTCCCTCCCTTCTCTTCCACCTTTCTTTCCATCTTTCCTTCCATCTTTCTCTTCCGCCCTTCCTTCTCTTTTTCCTTCCTCCTTTCCTCCTGGGAGATGTTTAGCTGGGAGAAGAGAAGGTAGAGAGGGAACATGAGAACCATGTTTCAAGATTTCAAAGGGTATCCAATTGAGGAGGAGGAGGGGAAAACTGACTTCTGCTGCTCTAGAGACCAGGGCAAAAGGGAGCAATGGTTTCAAATGGTAGGGAAAGAGATTGGACTGAAAAAAATAGGAAGAACTCTCTGAAAGTAATAGCTGTTGGAGAGTGGCATAGGCTGCCTGGGGGTGTGGTGGGGTCTCCTTCTTTGGAGGCTTTCCCCCAGAAGCTGTCTATTGGGAGTACTTTGATTTTGCCTTCTTGCATGGCAGGGGGTTGGACTGGATGGCCCTTGGGGGTCTCTTCCAACTCTAAGATTCTAGGATTCTATTTTATTTATTTATTTCACAGTTTTCTATACTGAGCTTCTCAACCTCATTGAGGGACTCAGCCCGGTTTCCAGCCATAAAAAACATATACACTCATTCTATATCAGAAGTAGGCAATACAAGGATAAACTCTAATGGATAAACTTTTTCTCTTCTGCCCACCATCTTACCCTGACCAAGGCTAACCTTTTTGGGATCCAAATGTTTCCTGCCTTTCCTTCATTTTCTGCCTCCAAAAGAAAAGAGGAAGGGGAGGAAAGGGCAGGGAGGGGACTTGGGGTTGAGAAATACAGTGTTTAAATAGGGTAAGTAAATAAATAAATAAATTTATTTCTTACCCGCCTCCCTTTGTGGCTCAGGATGGGTTACAACATAGCTGAAATACATGATCATCATAAACATTATGCAAAATACACATATTAAAATGTATTTCTACAAATACATATATTGAAATACACAGAACACAGATTAAAATATAGTGAACACAAGGTGGGAGTTTTCTGCAACAACAATAAAAATATTATAATAATGTGTTCTTGACTTGGCAGAGTTTGGGTGGGTGGGTAGTGCCATTAGTTGCCCTGCCATAGGCATCAAAATGCTTTTGATTGGCCTTGGGATTACAGCACATCTCCCAATTAATAAACCGAATTGCAGATTTAGTGGAAAATTGCACAGGGGCTATAGAACTGAGAAAAAAAATAAGTTGAACAGGAATACTTTTTCTATGCATTCACTTGCAAAATCGGTAGGTCCAGCTTGCTTCGATGATTCTGGGCTACTTTTATAAATGCTCACACACCCTGGATTCATTCTGAACAATGACTCTGCAAAATCATGGGAAGCTTCCACTGTGCCTCTCATTTATTACTCAGATTTGGAGTTATTAGAAACTGTCTGATATGCCATCAAGCTTCTAGCTGGTTCATCCTGGCAACTGAACTCTATGATGATGAACCTATGAAATGATCCAATAAAGCATTCTTATTAGTAGATAATAAGAAGTATACCCCAAGCTATCAGTGCTTTCCTTGCATATTACCCCAAGCTATCAGCACTTTCCCTGAATAATAAGATCACATATTTTTCTGATTTGGATGGCCAAATGAAAATGGAGACAGGGTACCTGTGCCTTAAATAGCGGTGCAAAAATTATGATTCCTGTAATTGGAAAAGCCTGTAGTTTCTACACTGCACAAAATCAGTCTTCTGCAGAAGAAAGGGTCAGGGGCTCAGTCCTCTTTCCCATTTGTCCACTCAAGTTGGAAACAGTGTGATGAGAATGCTGAAATGCAAGGGAAACGATCTAACATTGTGGGGAAAGCTATATGACAAATACGCAACAAATGGTGGTTGTGTTTTAGCAGTCAGGATGGATTGCATGCTCATGTTGATTTATAAGGTCTTTGTTATAAGTTTTATGTCTTCTTTCTTCAAGAACCTGGATGTTTTTTGTGGAAAATTCAGTACTTGCTACACATAACACATACACACTTTCTCTTCTGCTTCCCCTCATCTCATGTTATTTAAGAGAGTTATGTTCTGTTTCAGGTTCCAAAGATTCATTGGGAGCTTTCAACAAGGCATGTTCTCTTCATGGAGTTCATGGAAGGTGGGCAGGTGAACGATAAGGCTTACATGGAGAGAAACTGCATTGATGTCAATGAGGTAATTATGACAACAGGCAGGGGTGATAATACAGGTTGAATATCCCTTGTCCCAAATGCTTGGGACCAAAAGTGTGTTTGATTTTCCCCAGATTTTGGAATACAAGTAATCCCCAAGTTACGGACAACATAGGTTCTGTAGGTTTGTTCTTAAGTTGAATTTGTTTGTAAGTCAGAATAGTTACATTTTTACGTGTAACTCCATGCAAATATAAATATTTTAAAACTTTGCATAGCATAGGGAAGGGTTAACAGCCCTGTGGTGTTTGTTTTGCTGTCTGTTCCCCTGTTCAGAAGATTTCACCTCACTTTCTGTCCCTATCATAATAGGATTTTGAAAAAGTTTGGGTTGTTGTGGAAATGAGCATTGGTGATAAAGCTTCAGTGGAGACACTTTTCCCCCATGATAACTCTTTCAGAAGTAAATTTCCCTTCCTAGGGGTAGATTTTTCTCACTTCCTGTTGTCTCACCCCCATTTGTTACTATAAGGCATTTGTAAGTTGGAGGTTTGTAACTTGGGGACTGCCTTTATCTTGATTTGCATATACATGCATAATGACACATCTTAGAGATAGGACCCAAATTTAAACACATAATTCATTTATGATTTACTTTAGGCACATATCCTGAAGGTGATTTTATAAACTATTTTGTGCACGAAATAAAGTTTAGGAACATTGAACCACCAGAAAGCAAAAGCAAAGCAAAGGATAGCTAATACTCCAAAGGACAGGATCAGAATTCAAAACGACCTTAACAGATAAGAGAGTTCAGCCAAAACTAACAAAATGAATTTCAACAGGGAGAAATGTAATATACAACAGTCAGGTGTAAAATAAAATACAAATAAAAATGCATAGGTACAGGAGGGGTGACTCCTGAAACAGATCTTTATGGACAACAAGTTGAACATGAGCCAACAATGATAAGCAGCAGCTAAAAGGCCAATGAGATTATGGACTGCATTAAAAGGAGTATAATGTCTAGATCAAGGGAAATCATGGTGCCTCTCTGCTCTTCTTTGGTCAGACCTCCCCTGGAATACTGTGTCCAATTCTGGACATCACAATTTAAAAGAGATATTGATAAAAGAGATAAAAGGGAGAGGGCCTTTTCCACTGTGGCCCCCCGCTTTTGGAATTCGCTGCCTAAGGAGATTAGGCAAGCCCCCACCCTAGCTGGTTTTAAGAAATACCTAAAAACTTGGCTCTTCCGTTGTGCTTTTGGAGAATGACCATTCAACCCATCTGGTTGTCTTAGTCTACAGCTGCCCTCAGAATAAAGCATCTCCCCCCCCCCCGCCTAAAATGGCTAATTTCCTACAAATGCACTTTTATCCCTATCTCACCCAGGGTTTTAACTTTTTAAACATTTTACCTCACACATTTGGCCTGCCCTCCGTGTCTGGTTTTAATATGCTGTTTTATATTGTTGATTTTGTTATTTTATATTTTGTTATGATGTATTTTGTTACTGTGTGTTTATTATGTTGTATTATTTTGGACTTGGCCTCATGTTAGCCGCACCGAGTCCCCTTTGGGGAGATGGTAGCGGGTTATAAATAGAGTGTATTATTATTATTATTATTATTATTATTATTATTATTATTATATTGATAAATTGGACTGCCCTGAGTCGCCCTCGGGCTGAGAATGGCGGTATAGAAATATAGTAAATAAATAAATAAATTGTGTTCAGAGGAGGGCAACTAAAATTATCAAAGGCCTGGGGGCCATGCCCTATGAAGAGTGTCTTAAAGAGCTGATATGTTTAGCCTGCAAAAGAGAAGGCTGAGAGGAGACATGATAGCCATGTATACATATGTGAAAAGATGTCATAAGGAAGGTGGAACAGGCTTGTTTTTTGTTGCCTTAGAGACTAGGACTTGGAGCAATGGGTTCAAATTACAGGAAAGGAGATTCCACTTGTATATTAGGAAGAACTTCCCAAATGTGAGAGCTGTTCAGCAGTGAAACTCTCTGCCTCGGAGAGTGGTGGAAGCTCCTTCCTTAGAAACTTTTAAACAGAGACTGGATGGCCATCTGTTGGGGTGTTTTGTTTGTGCTTTTCCTGCATGGCAGGGGCTTGGACTATATGACCCATGTGGTCTCGTCCAACTCTATGATTCTGATTTTGGATTTTGGGATTTTGGATATGGACTGTTCAACCTGTACATAAAAACAGCACCATCCGTAAGTGTAACTGAAACCAAGTAGCAGTTCAAAAGCAGGTAAAATAAGAATAATTTACAAATAAAGAATAGTCTGTGAATACAGACAGATTTTCTACTACCATCTCTAGGAAAGTACCCAGTCCATTGTGCCATCAGATATTCCAATTTTCTAAAGGACTAGAGTCCAATCTTGCCATCTAAAGGTGCCCTGTTATTATTCAATCACACAGAGCAAATAATAGAAATTATTGTTGGAACTGACCTTGATGCTATGAGTAGTGTCTGATGGAATATGTGGAATGCTACAGGTACAGTCTAAAGGATGCATGAACAATCTTTGTCCTCAGGGCCAGACATAGCCAACCGAGATTTCCCACCCAACTGGCCAGCTTTTCCCCAGGCGTCACTTGTTGTCCATAGATGGGGAAAAGCTGTCATAACTTTTCAGAATGGTGCAGCAACAAAGGCTTGCTCAAGTGAATATTATTTTTATCCAGTGCTACTTCATTGTCTTTCATTTCAGAAATATTTAATATACAGAAGTAAAGCCTCAAACGACAACGATTAGAATGACAAATACAACAGAATGGAAATGGTAGTTGAATTCACCAAATACCTGTGAAAATGGCATTGTCTGGCAAGTAAAAGCATGTAGAGAAATATCAATTTAATTGGAAGTTCCCAAAAGGTGATCACTTTAGTATAGAAGGATCTGCTTTGCGCTCTCAGAAAGTTCATCAAAATGAAGTGCAGAGCAACCAAGAGATTTACCTTTGAAGATTTGGTAGAATAATGGTAAAGGTAAAGACATTTAGTCTAGTTGTGTCCAACTCTGGAGGGTGGTGCTCATCTCCATTTCTAAGCCGAAGAGCCGGCGTTTTCCATAGCCACCTCCAGGATTATGTGGTCAGCATGACTGCATGGAGTGCCATTACCTTCCCGCAGAAGTGGTACCTATTGATCTACCCACATTTGCATGTTTTCTAATTGCTAGGTTGGCATAAGCTGTACCTAAAAGCGGGAGCTCATCCTGCTCCCCAAATTTGAACCACCAATCTTTCGGTCAGCAAGTTCAGCAGCTCAGCGGTTTTACCCACAGTGACACTAGGGGGCCCTTTCTGGTAGAATAGTCTAACACATATGAACAAAATTTTATTCCATGGTGCAAATTTATATCAGAGTCCTGTTATGGACTTTGCATTTCAGGCAACCTTTAATTTTATTCTTATGGGGCAATTGCAGGGTGAAAGAAAGCATTGCTTTTTGAGCTACAGCATTGCTGTTGTAATGGTTGCATCAATGTGAAATGTTACCTATGTTTTCCTGTTCATGCTCCAGGGCTGAGCTTAAAATCACCTCATTGTTCAATTATTTAGGAGGGATATTTTTCTAAAAGGGTGCAAAAATGTCAACTCTTTCTGGACTAAGAACCATGATGGTGTAGGAAATGTGTGTGACCTTGTTTTCAAGTGTCATTATTTACCTAAACAATGTCATCACAAAAACAAATCTAACTGGCCATGTGTTGTCATTATATCATTCAGTGATCCCTGATTGGATGGGATTGCCTGGGTCACTATTCTCAGAGAGAAGTCAAGAACAAAAATATCGCTGACGTAGAAGCATAAGAGAAAAGCAGAGATGGGAAGCAGGAAATAAAAAGATGATAGGGATTGTGATGTTTGTGGGAACCATGTGATACTGACCAAAGCATTTTTTTGTTCCCCAGAATGACGTGAGCATTTGACACAACCACTTATAGATTTGGGCATCAGTGAAAAAGCTTTCTCTGCTTTTGTCCCACTCCTTGAATTCAAGTTGTATGTTTTGAAATGTCACATATCTCCAAATATAGACATGTTTCACTGCCTGATGCAATGAGTACCTAGGGCATGTAGTTGGGTCTATAGGTTTTAGAGTGTATACAGTAATTGAAAGGGGGAAAAGAACCTGGTTTTATTTGTAAGAGATCCAGCAGACCCAGCCTGTCAACCTTGCCCTCTGAGTCAGTGAATTTTGATTGAATCAGTGCTGCCTGCCTTTCCCCTGCACACTATTGACGGGCATCAAAATGCCACTTGGCTGACTAGCTATCAAAGAGCTCCAACACAAAATCAATTGTACTTAATCTGTCTGTCTATCTGTCTGTCTGTGTGTCTCTGAAGGATGCTCCCTTCCCTATCATCTTTTTATTTTGTGTCCACATTCACTCTCCCTCCATTATAGACATTCCAAAATATATCCAGAGAGGGAGTCAAGTCATGTGTTCATTAGACTCTAAGAGACTACCATCGATATTCTATAACTTTTCACTAGAAGGAATTGCTCACCATTGTAAGTAAGCACACATAAAGCATAGCAATGCACTAATTGCCAGTAGCGTGAAGTGATATTAGGACTCAGAATCACTGCCTCATTGCCTTCCTATAATGTCATTGCTAATCTATATGTATGTGAGCACGCCTGTGTGTCAATCTGTAACATTCTGTTATGCATTGATATAATCAAGAACCTATTCAGAGCGTGAGACTATGCACACAAAGGCATGGGATTATACAGATAAAAGCAGTCTTGATAACTAGAGAGCCAACATATTGTAGTATTTGTATATTAGAAAAGGACTCCAGGAGGCCGATGTTTGAATCCCTGCTCAGTCATGGAAACCTACCAAGTGACCTTCAACGTGTCACATTCTTTCAGCAGCCTAAGGCAATAGATATCTTCTTGGAATAAATCTTTACAAGAAAACCCTAGGACAGAGTTTCCATAATATTGAGATGACTTAAAAGCACACAACAACAACAATAGCATCTGGAGGCCACCAGTG